ATCCAAAAAACGGCGTAGACGGTTCAAATTTTATGGAGCTTATTTTTGTATGAAATTACTATTGTGGGTAAATTTCCATCAACACATATTAAAACTTGGACCTTTCGGCTCTACAAAGAATTAATTCCGTGAAAATGCTTATTAAGGTAGGATCTAAAAAATAGGCCGCAATCATCCAAATTTGGTACAGTTAGTTTTTTTATATTAAATTACTATTGTGAAATAATTTTCATCATGAAGCATTAAAAATTACACTTTTTTGTTATTTGAACTTATGTTTCCGTTATATGAGGGGGGAGTTCAAAAATTGTCCCAGTCGATCCAAAGTTTTCATACAAATTTAGAATACAAATTTTTTTCCATATAACGACTTTTCAGGATAGGGAGTTACATGGGGAAATCAGACAGACAGAGAGGATTAGATCAATTCATTCATATTTGCTGTGTTCTGCAGCTGTAAATAGCTTAAGTTCAACACAATCAATTAGTTTTTTCAAAATAAATATTTTTGTTGTAACTACACTAATTAAGTTCCTAATGTTAGTTATGCTCGATTTTAAATGCTTCAAGGGTTTGTGTGGCGTTGTTATGTGGTAGTAAAGAATATATTCTAACGCTCGTTTTAGAGAGAAAATTAAGATGAATTATTTTATTATTATTATAAAAAAAACCTTTATGTGTGTTTCCATCATGAGGCAGTTATCGAGTTTAAGCTAATGTGACTGCCTAATAATTACTTAGTCTTCAATCTATATTTGAGAAGCAATAGAAAACCTATAGCCATAATATTTGCTCCACTGCCGCTTAGTTATCCATTCAATGATTTTCAAAAGAAGGTATTATGTAGCAAATGGTTGCAAAGGTGGTTCGAGTCGTATCATTTGCAATAGCGTTCTTCCTTGGACCAAATTTCATCGAAATATATCAAAAATTGCGGTGGTTTCCACAAGAAAAGTAGTCGGAAAGACGGACAGATAAGCAGACAATCTTCAATTGATTCAGAAAATTGTTCTGAATTGAACGATATATTAAAACGAGGATCTATCTCTAGTCCTTCAGGATATTGTCTAAGTAATAGACTCATCTTAGAAGCGTCCACATTATAGAGCAGATAATAAATAACACTGGGATGTGATGAATTTATTTTTAAATTATTAAAGGTTTTTAGAACAATTCGATGTGAATTGCTGTCGACTAGAATTTCTGCTTTAGAATCTAGACTAAGTAACGGATATAAGTACTTTTTATTTCTTTGTTTGGCAAACAATAGCAATATTGTAGAACAATGCACATTTAACTATTGTCTGATAGCAACAATATGTATTTCAACAGCAGATTTGATATATCAGCATTTGCTTTTGCCTCATATAACATATATGTATTGCACTTTCCCCCGTTTGTATTCATAGTTTCTACCTTTGTATAAGGTATAGTAATCTTCTAAGTTCTTTTGTAACGCCTAGAGTTAGTTATAAGACACAGTTGCCGTAAGGTAAATGTATTCCGGATAATCGCCAAATTCCAACTCGAGTTTGGATGATGTATCTCCCTCCGTCCAAGTCGGTGCTGGAGTCCAGTTAATATTATTGCGAAATTGGAAATTTAGCACTTCAATTGAGATCTCGACTTGCTTTGCTCTACTCCGAATTTTCAATAAATTTCCAACCACAAATCAATCAAGAGAAGGGGCAGGATTTTCAATCTTTAGAGGAGATAAAAAAGTTTGCCTACATATGAAAGAGTTATGATTGATACTAAATTCCACGGATCTTAGATTGTTTTTATAGGCTTTTATGTTGATATAGATTTAAAATTCGTTGCTTCAGTGTGCCTAATCCGCATGATGTTGTTTGGATACTATATTTCAACAAGCGATAAACGCAAACTGTGCAGTAATTTATGGCGAAAGTTGTACTAAATTGCGTGATCGTTTTTTAGTCGAAATTATCCACTTATGCTACAATTTTCAAAACTGCGGTTATAGGGTTTAATGTTACCTTATGTGCACTGCAAAGACTAAGTGAAAAAAATAGTGCGCTAGTTCGACTATGATGTGCTACCATTTGTTATCTATCTCCGTGTGGAACCAACTCGCCGGTCCGTTTTACGCATTAAGTCTTTATGTCCCCGATATTTATCTCTCCTTCTTATCATACATTTAACGTTGCTAATTGAAATTCTCAACCCTACAGTCAGTTCATTTCACTGAGGTTTCCTTCCGCAAAACGGAGACAGCGCACCTCTCGCAATATAACGAATTTTTTTTTCGCTTATCTTACGAGTACAGGTCGTAATTTTGCGCTTGCAAACTAAATCCAGAGTTTTGTGAAAATACTTTAGGAACCATAGTTCCATTTTTTGAAACGCTGATTTAACACAAAGATGTCGATTTTAATTTCTTTTTCGCAACATCCTAATGCGGATATCATGGAGAATCTTAGTTTGAAGCTATACCCAAAGTTACATAAAAATTTAAGCAGACAACGATATCGTAAACCTGGACAATATGATACCGGAAAAAGGTATTCAAAGTTTCCAGTTTAAAATACGTAGAGATGTACAGTTCACTTGCTATCTGCGAAGGCTTGCACCGTACAATACTTCTATGGGCACGGCAGGATTGTGTTTAGAATTTTTTGAATCAGTAGTAGTTTTTTATAGTGAGCAAATTATTCAAAACACAAAACACTTATAATAATAGCGCTATCTTCGTGAAAGCGATTCTCTCGATCGATTAGAATTTCGCACTCCCTTCACGCTATTCTATTTTATATGATTTCCGGATAAGTGAAAAACAATTGTTTATGATCCTTAATAAGGTATTCATGATATATATGTATATTAATACAAAGTTATTGACTGAAAAGTATTCATATACATTTCCATTGACAATTTTGCAATCAAAATATATTTACTGAAAACTACATTTTCATGCAAATCATGCAAGCACCCGTAAAGTGACACGACCAATGGTGTTGAAATTAATGTCACATTAATGTTATGTTTAGTTAGCAGAAAGTGCATTATAAGTAAATATCTAAAATATGGATTGTGCAAATATTTCGCATAAATATATTTCTGACTGTATTGGCCAACAAAAAAAAACAACTAACAAAATTATGTTCGGTCATTGGCGAATCTTTTATGCCCATCACAATTAACTAATTTTTTTTTTTTTTTTTTTGTTTTTAAAATAAGAGTTCATGGCGCAAAGGGTGGTGTGGGTGCTGTGGGCGTGTCGTGTGAAAACTTTAGGCGTCTTCCAAATTCTTTTGTAAATTTGTAGGCGATATATTTATTTTCGCTAACCGGAGAATATTTACTACAAATCCCACACAGTTGCGCGGACAGACAGATGAACCGACGGACATGTTTAGGTGCATTCCAAATTTGAAACTGATTAAGAATTTAGTTTGTGGAGTTTTTGAAGCTTGTTTCTGGTCCTTTCTAAAGTATTGAAAAAAATGATAAATTTTCATACAGTATAATAATGGGTACAGTATAATATTGAGTAAGCGTGGTCAATTTTTTTCATAAGGTGGTACAGCATCGCTCTTAGAATATGCGTTCAAATGATTGCATATTTATTTGCTATAGTTTATGAGTAATAAGCAAAAAGACCAATTTTTCATTCTCTTTGAAAAACGGAAGTGTTCTCAGCTTACATGGTACTGTGGGTCTGCCCTCCTACCGGTTTGACCCATTTTCTTCACCAACGTTCGTGCATGAACTTCAGGAGAAGGTTTACAACAAACACCGCACAGACTCACAGATGGACAAGTTTAAATCGATGTAGAATTTAACACTCATCAAGAATGTTCACACTGGGCGTTGCAAACGTTTTGACGAATGACCCCTCATTCGTCGGTGATGGGTATAAAAACGATAAAGTGCATAATATACTAAAGCATTTGGATGGCTACCATTGCATATCTATGTAGCAAGTCTGTATTACGAGTATCTCGAACGAGATAGGAAAAGAGAAGGAAAAAGCAAATAATCTGTATTTTATATTGTGAATAATTTATTTATTGAATTTAAATGTTTCATGGTATGAAAACCTACCCCAGAACTACGATTGAGGGAGTATAAAGATTAAATAAATATTTGAGATATAAAGTTTCGTTGCTCCTCAATTTTGATAGTTTAGATAGCCTGCCCTTGTTGACTGAAATATCACAAAATCAAAGACAACAAGTAAGAAAGTTATATTCCGAATCCCGCACATCCAACACTATGCTTTTCGCATTTTACTCCCCAAGTTCTTTTATTTGATACCCACATCGCTGGTATTAGTAAGAAAAATTAATCGCTGTGTCTACCGAATTCACTTCGAAATAAAACCATTTTAAGGCAGAAAATATACCTTCGTTTGAGAAATGTTCAAAATAGTTCTGAACATTCTGTCTTGTTTGCCTTGTAAGTATAAAACCCCAAAAAAAGTAAAAAAAAAAAAAAAATTTAATTACTCGTAACTGTGTGTGCGCGGATGACGGATTTTTCCCATTTTCACACATAAAGAGCAGACTGTTTCGTAAAGTAAGTGTGGAAAATTGCATCCAACTAACTTTTATAATTTCCGAGAAATGAGCACAATGATCCAAAATTTTTTGCTAAGAAAAACGGAATTGCTTTCAGTTTACGCTCCACTGCGGGCTTCTGGTTTCACCAATTTCACCCAGTTTTTAATACCAACCTGTGTTGAAAGACTTTTAATGTTTCTACTAAACTTGAAGTCGATAGAAGAGTGCCAACAACAAACACCACACAGACACACAAATGTACAGACGGACAGACATGCTTAAATTAAGTCAAAATTTACAGCTGATCAAGAATATGTATGCTTTGTAGGGTGTCTGAAGCTTCCTTTTGAGCATTACATAAATTACGAAAAAAAAGAAAATGAGTATACTCACCTCTTACAGTGGTGGGTATAACAAACAATTTTATATTTTTATTATTAATAATTCTATTTTTTTATTAAAATAATTATTTTCCAGGATCCATGGAAAACTCCGGGTAAATAACCGATCCCATCTTGCTGAATAAAATGCAGTTAACAAAAATCTTTGCGCTTATGGTTCATCGTCCAGATGGTAAGTATTTTATATTGGCTTCAAAGCAAGCATGCCTCACTGAAGAATGAATATCTACCCGTTTCCCATTTCAAAAATAAGCGCCGTATGCACTACAAGGTATATGCTTGCTTCCTTAACGGAAAATGCCGAAGCCTGTCGAACAAAACAAGACTTACGTTAGTCATAAAATTATTATATTTCCATGACGTAGTAAATACCCGGGAATAGCTAAGTAGGTAAGAATCGCTATAGCCAAGTTAGTGTTCACGAGTTCAAATCTCAAATGCGGTACAATGTGCTTTGATCGCAGCTACAGTGGGTGGTCAACCGGTAAAGCACTTACCAGTAGAACACACATCCAACCGACAGGGGCCAACACGCTCATATCTCTTTCTCTTTCCTCACTTCTTTCGGACGTTCAGCATATTACACGTATATGTTACACGTATCATTCCTACACTTGTGCACAGGTGTATTCAGGATATGACTAGTCGTACTGCTCGCCTTTGGAGAAACCTATCAACAGTGGTGCACTATACCTCATGCCGACATTTTCAATTCGAACGTTCACATAGACTTACTCCCTTTCCTCACCTCTCTTTCCAGTTCAGGCCATTTTCAAACTATTTTTCAAATTTGTAGACAATCTCTTCTTTTTTGCGAACGGAAGAATGTGTACCATAGATACTGCACAATTCGACCGATGAACAGATGGACATGTCTACATGCATGCCGAAGTTGAAAAAGACCCAGAATTTAAATACCTTAGTGAGTTTTTGAAGCTTGCTTTTGCGCCTGATGCAGGTATTGAAAAAATTGAAATTTAATACACTATGACATTGGGTTGGCATGGTCGATTATATCCATCTTCGTTCAGGTATTATAGCATCGCCCATATGCGTTAAAATTTTTGTGTATTTATGTGCAATTGTTCATAAGCAATAAGCAAAAAAAAACAATTTTTATTATTTTTGAAACACAGAGATGTTCTCAGTTTACGTGGCGCTGTGGCGTGTCCTTGGACTCGTTTAGCTCCTTACCAATGCCAGCCCGCGGTGAAGAACCTCCAATGTTTCTGTCAAATTTGAAGTCGAAAGCTTCATTATTGCGGCCAGGACGATGTTTACAACAGACATTACACAGACGGACTGGCTTAAATCCATATAGAATTTCTTGGTGATCAAGGATATATGGACTTTACGGGGCCTCTGATAGAAAGATCAGTATAGAAACTGTGAAGACTTTTGCTCTTCGCATCTTTTGCTTGTTATTCATAAAATACAACACACTTCATACGAATTTCCACTGGGCCGTGCCCACACAATATTATAGAATATCAAAATTTAGTTCGCCTCATCTTTCTTAGGATCATGGTGATGGGTATAATAGATTCGGCCACGACCGAATATAATTTTGTTACTTGTTTTTTTTATTATTTTTTTTATTATTTATTTTTATATATTTTGTTATGTAAATATACCCCGTAACGACAAATTTATTTAACTGTGTTCATGTGTCTATGTATTGATGTCTCATCACAAAACCATAGACAACACAAAACGGACAAATACTGCTATATGCTTTCTTTCCATGGACCGAGTATATTGAAAGTAATGCATCTCCATTCAAGGCTACTGATGCTCAGTTTGGCAAAAATATATACTTGGACGTTCAGAAGGATAATGATTCTTAGTGATCGGTTTACATGTGTAATTCAAAACCATTTGCTTTTGATAAAGGGCTTCAAAAATTCGACGATTCGATAAACTTATGAAATGTTTTTTTCGCAATTTGCGACATAGTGTATTTATAAGTAAATGCATGTGTGTAGTTCGATTAAAACTTTAGTAATAATTTCAAATACCAAATAAATATAAATTAAAAATTATTTTTAATGAATTTTCATATTTAAATTCTTTACTTTAAAAAGCAGCTTTTTTCTTATAGTAATAAAAACTTTTAGAAATCGTTTAAACTAATGTGTTGTATACCGTTTTATGTACATAACGAACGCATGGCACTCACACTTTGATTTCATATTTACATATATAATTTCTCTCTCTATGTGTTACATGTAAATTTGCATGATAAACGCAAAACGGTTAGCTGGCATATAAAAAAAAAAAAAAAAAATGAAAAATAAATAAATAAAGAATAATAGGGAAAATTTTTAGTTAAAATGATTTAACATAAAAAAGTTTGTTAGGTAATCGTTACGCTTGACGTTAGGAAAATATTTACATATACCGAGAAAACTCTGTATTTGTTCAAGTACCCTTAAACACACACACACATACACACGCAAGCATGCACATACGGATATACGAACTCATAAGTACACACACACACATACTTAAACGCAAATACACACACGCTAATACGCTTTTATATTAAGTTGCTATATAAGTATAGCGAATGCTGTCATTTGGTGCTGTTATTTGGTGGCTAATATACGCTGCAAAGTGTATTCTTTATTTTAATGATATTTTTTCTTCCCCACTTTACACTCGTTCTCGAGCATTCGTACATACATATAGGTATATATATATATATATATATAACAACGTCGAACTAGAGGAATGCTTAGATTGTTTGGTAACTAAAAGGGAAAAGTAAGCACTATATTAAAGCTAGTTAAGTGCGGCGTTAAGAATAATAATGTTATTGGCAGAAAGAGAGAGAGAGAGAGAGAGAGAGAGAGACAGAGAGAGAGAGAGAGATAGAGGAGGCGGTATTATAACATGGCAATGATGCTTGGCTTGACGCTTGCTGCTAGGGATCGGTGGTGATGCTTAGTTGGTTCGTTGCTTGCTTGCCTGCTTGGTTGCTTGCTGTTGGGTGCCGTAATAATTTTGTTCAAAGTGTTTAGATGAGGTTTAACAAAGCATTTTTATAATATATGCTACGGTATGTGCTGGTTTATTTAAACATAAAGATAAAACTTTAGTATAGTGTATATTTTGGTAACTCACACAAAATATAATGCATTCACATAAAGGGAATATTTTTCTTCTTTTTTTTCCATTTATTACATAAAGCACTTTGTAGTGAAAGTGTTATAGTTTTAAATGGGAAAAGTTCTTGTTTTTCTTATATATTTTTTTTTAAATTTAGGAAAAATATTGTAAATGATTCGCTTTTTTAATATCAAAACACTACTTACTACAAATGTTAAAAAACTAATAATTTTTCATACATTTTTGCAAATAAAGTTTTGGATAAGTAAAGAAACGGCAAAATTTTCTTAATTAACTAATTAACTAACTAATATTCTTCGTAATTATTATCAAACGACGTGTATCAAATTCGCACCGTATAGAAACCGCTGTGAAGCATCCACTTGCTACACCTTACAACATGTTTCATGTTACTTCATTTGTTAGTTCCTTGAATAAAATTTATTTTTTGCCAGTCGCAGGCAATGGCTAACGTTCTCATTAGTGTAGCTGTCAAATTTTCTTTCTGCGTTATTCTTTGTTAGTACGACTGACCATTAGAAATCTCATCGCTGGAAAAATATCAAAAAAAGGATCAAATGTCAAATTTTAAGTCAGAAGGTTATCGAGCAGAAAACATTCATTAAATACCATGCGATGACCTTGAAAGAAAAAAGAGAAGCAGAAAAAGTATTCGCTTTGATCGCGTCTTTTCATGCTTAACAAGGTTGTCGTGCAGGGGAAACTGCTCAATAAAATGAAATGATTGTATCTATGAGTTTGTGATGAAGAAAAGAAAATTTTCAATAAAATTTATGTGATTACATCTGCAGACAAAATATTCTTTGTCCAAAAATTTATTATAATGTTTAAAAAACTGTTTTAGACTGTTCGTATATTTATATATAGCTTTTTTTTTTGTTTTGTGGTAATTGCGAGAAAAACACTTTGAGCAATTTTACCGGTTATCGAGCATAAAAAAAGGCGTTTTCGCTAGCGCCCTTCAAAGAAATCTTTGAGACAAAACGCTGTAGGTTGTACCCAAGAAAACGAGACGGACAGACATGCTTTAATCAGATCAGAAAGTGACTGTGAATCGATCGGTATAAAAATGTTGCATTTATCCGCACAAACTTGGTACACCCTCGTACTGCAAATGGTGCAAAGTATAAAGAGAGACTACTGCAGAAGGTGGGGGTTACAAACCCTCCTACCCATTTGCCCAGCGTTTATCATTATCTGGCGACAGAATGATATGGAATTTTAGTTCGCACCGCTTTGACTGCGTTGAACACTCTTTTTATACAGCTGCAAACTATATAAGCTGAATTATTACATAATATAACGTCTTTTCACATTAAATAAAACAAGCTAATTATGGTCTAAATGAGTCCTAGTTCCTCGAGTTCATTTCAGACAGAGAGAAATATGTTCCTGTGTAGAGAAGCATATAGCATTTTGTGTGTACTTGATGCGAACTGAAATCAAAATGCCTTTGCAGAAGTTGCGGATTCATGTTCTGGCGAACCTTTTCTTAACTTAGACGTTGTTAGCTTGAAGTTTATCTGCAACTTTTATAATTTAGATAAACAGTTCTTACATGAAAACTTCAGTGTTGTTACAATTTAAAAGGACTAATAAGTAAGAAATGACTTACAGCTAATTTAATACTGAGAACAATGCCAACAAATAAATCAAAGTTTGCAAGTGGAAGCATAAGCATAAGTACGCAACGGCACAAATGCCGCGGAGTAGCCAACTTGATGAAATTAAACTGCTTGTAAAAACGTACGGCTCATAACCCAACTATTAAAGACGACTGGGCCCTCTCAAGGAGAACTCATGGAATGCAAAACCTTACGAAAAAAGGGCTTATCGACATCAAGCGTAGATGAAACAAGAAATGAGTTCCAATATTCTGGAAATTTAATATTTTTGGATGCTATATAATTATATTAATATAGCAAAAAAAAAAAAACGGGAAACAAAACGTTAATTATTTATTCATACTTGCTAGGAAGACGTGTGAAGCTAGATAAAAAGATTTGTGCATAATCTGCATATAGCTACAGCTTGCGAACG